AGACATGTCTGGATTGATCGAGTTCAAACTTCACACACACAAGGTACATCATGTCACAAATATGTATGTGCATTTGTTTCATGATCTCATTAACGATAGCCAAATGGCGGCTGCTTTAAGGCCGAAAATGCATTGAAATCGCACATTTTCACTATTCCGGACCCGGATCTCAGTTATGCATGGACGGATTTTGTTCAAATTTGGTACATACATTAAATATAATAGGACCTTGATGCACGTAATTTTTTTTCCGGATCAAGTTCGAAATGGCCGACTGGCGGCCATTTTGTTTTAAAGAATTCAGTTCTGGATCCGTATCCGAGACATGTCTGAATTGATCAAGTTCAAACTTCACACACACATGGTACATCATGTCACAAATAGATATGTGCATTTGTTTCATGATCCGCATAACAATAGCTGAATGATGGCCATTTTAAGGCCGAAAATGCATCAAAATCACGTATTTTCACAATTCCGGAACCGGATCTCATGCATGGATGGATTTTGTTCAGATTTAGTACAATGTGTTGTACATATACAGGTGCATTTCGGTCATGATCTGCTTTGAATGTATATGTCACTCAAATATGAACGGAACGGGGACGTGTCATTGACAATGACTTGTTTCTGGAAATGAACCTTAAATTTTGAAGCCAAGATTTGATTAATTTTTAGATTTTACTCAAACAATTTGGCTATTTTTTTCCCAATCTTCTGACTATAAATAAGACTATTTTGTCAATTTGTGGTGAAAAGAGAGAACTGGTGGTGAAAAGGTTAAATGATTCTTGGAGTAATACAGTGAATTTCAAGAAAGCATGAATGTTTTTTTATGAAATTATTTTAAATATAAAACATTTACCCTGCAAGACCCTTACACTGTATTCAAATGCAAAGCATACATGTTCATTAGCTACACTCATTGGGTTTCCTTCAATTTATATTGGCTGATTCACTGCCATGTATCTATTAATTTGTTGTGATTGGTCAAGTTTTTTTCAACTGTGATTTTAAAATTTATAAGACATTTTTATAACACTCTTGGTCATTGTTCTGGTTGTTGGTTTATTTTAGTAAACCAGATCAATCCTCCTTGATTTCCGATGGAGGTTCTAAAAAATAGGTATTAGAAAGGTCATGTCTATGTCAAATGTTATGTATTGAATTATTCACGAGCAAATGACAAAACATACAATACATTTTTTGTATTTATGTAAATTAACATACGTTCAGAGCTGTGCACTGGCAATCCATCAGATTGTTGAATCGTTTTTTATCGAATCCTTTATGGAATAAGTCATTAAATGAATATCGTTGATGTAGATGTCACAGTTTTTGTCAGCAATTTGTGAACGCATGAGATCGAAGGCAAAGTGTGTTTATGAAGGAAATGACATTATATATAATTATTTTATATAAAAAACTGCCATGTTTTTATAAAATTTACTGTACAAAATACATAATACATTTACTCCAGAAGACAGAAGCAGTTTTCATTGGCTAGAACAGATATAACAATGGGACCTTGTGTCTTTCATTCATGGTCAATTTTTATAAACATATGTATGCAAAATGCATTTAAATGCATCAAACAAATCCTTCATCGGTATATATTTTGAATATTACAGGTAGTATTAATGTCTGAATTGATTGTAAAACATTCATTTTCAGGTAGCAGGGAAATCGTCACAATTGCAGTGGTTGAATATTGTATATAGCTGGTATTTATCAACAAAAGCAAATGTGAAACTGAAGTTGCTGTCAATCAGTTTAAGAAATTTATGAAACATTTATGCTTATATGAAGTACTGTAATCCATTTTCGTCCCTAAATAAACGGAAAATTAAGAGAAATGTACCATCACGAAGACATTTTTCACTTTTATGACGGGTCAGAGGTCACCCACTGAATAAAAACAGCATGATTAAAAAATATCAAAATTATTATTTTTAGTAAAAGTTTATTTAAATCAGCGATAAATGCCGTTACCATGGAGATCATTTGTGTTTGCGAGCCTGCCTGCTACATAACGGTCATTTGGCCAAGACACAGATATATTTAAACACTTACGTAAACATGTCTATTTCTAACCAATACAGAAATTACACAAACATTCAAGAGCATACAGAACACGCCAACCTGATATTATTAATGCGATCCCAGAGATCCACGATTCGACGTCGATCGACGTCCACCGGAATGCAACTTACTTTGCGGCTTAGGTATTCTCGTACAAGAGACCCAGTCAAGCTTTCAACGCTTGCGTGATCCATCGCTACAGTGTGTAAAAGTGTTGTAGTCACATTAAAGACGATAAATCAGCATACTGTGGGAGTCGCATAGGGAAATATCGATGTTTATTTCATAGATCCACTAAGTATGTGTACGCCGCCATTTTGATTACCGCAAAGAATCTTGGGTGGAGAGACCATAGGATCTTGACCGATTAACAAAGTTAACAATTTATTCATAAAGGTTGACTGTGTATTAATGAAATAATTTAAATTTAATTTAAATTATTTTTATTCCTAGACCTGCGACAAGACTCGGAAAGAAGTCCAGACTCCTAGTATTTTTGCCGGGACTTTCTAACATAATACTGAAAACTAACCGCTAGTTATCAACCAACTAACCAGTCAGCCAGTCTATCATCAACCGACCAAATAAATAACTAAACATTTGTATTTGATAGTTTGTACTGACAATGACAAAGAAAGTCACCTTGTCAGTTCCAGCCATGGAATACATGTTCTATCACCACGCCCAACAAAATATAATGAAAGTAATGGTAACATAAGTATTGTGTTATATTTCATAAATAAATATATCTAATGTGGATATCACATTACTGGAAAATAATGAATAAATTAGTCATTATTATCCCTGGCAATGTACCTTATTTGCATAATTATCAGCAATGCTGTTTATTCATACAATGTTATCTTGCTAATATATATGAACGCAATTTATGATGTGTAGAAATTAACATGGGTTATAATTTGTTGAGAGTTGTAAAGATAAACACCAAATAATCCGCGATAAACGGTAATTTCTTTGTTAATTCTTTATAAAAAAAATTCGCTCCATGTGACTTAGTTTTGTATTAAAGCGGAGAGGTCGTCACCTGCGCACGCGTGGGAATTGAGTCCCAAAAGACAATAACAAAAATGCTTGTTTGTAAACAATTACACGCTGTGGCCATCTAACGCATGCGCAGGTGACGCCTCCCCTGCTTTAAATAAGAATACTTCCTTCTATGCATCTATGGAACAACTATGTATGATATAATTGGTGAAATTTGCTAGTATCGATAAATACAATAGAGTAGCTTATAGAGTAGTTAGGTAATTGTATTCATTGGCAATTATTGCCTTCTGCAATTTTATAAACTCTATTATTACAGCAGGCACAAACTCCATATAAACATTGCAATATAGCGAGGGACTTTCTTAGTGGCGCCATCAAATGATCTAATGTTATGAACACGATTGGATTGCTACGGTACATTTCGTAACAACCTCACTTTACCTGGCGTCACTTGGAACTTGTTGTTGCATTTCTGTCTAAAATAAATTAATTACCACTATAATGAAATAAAACAAGAATATGATTATTATTGTGTAACATTTCGTTCTTCTAAAACTGAAAATTTCTTGTCAATTATTAAAAACTGAATTGTTGACATTATTGATGCCCTTTGTTTTCATTGAAAACCTACGAGGTACCACCGCCAACGGCGAAAAATCACACCGCGTCAAAATATACCACGCCAAATAATCACTAACTTAAGGGAATAACTGAGCTCCATAGTGAGTGTAAATTCTGAAATTGGTAGCCTGTGCAGTTTGTTGATTGCTGGGTTGATTGCTTTCATGCGTGGTCGATTGGGTCCTTCAGATGGCTTCTCGGATAGCTGTGGTAAGTAACAGCATGACCATATCCTTTTGTAAACAGGGTGAAAGGCCATGTTACTATTGGGGTGACTGTGCACGCTCATAGACGTACGTGGTGCACTGATCTACATTTTACCGTCCTCTATATATACCCGGGGGAGTGTCACTCAATATTAAAACCACAGTCACTTGGGGGCTGAAAATCAATAAATACTAATTTTCAAAAAAAATCATCCGCTATACGTATATAAATAATTTTTATACGTATAGCGGATGATTTTTTTTTAAAATTAGTGACTGTGATTAAAACCTTACACCATATGCGTTCTTGCTAAAAAAACAACAATACGCTTTCAGCTCGATTACGCTATTACGATACAGGGAATAATTACTTCGATTTGTCCGTTCATATCGACTGCTGTGAATATCGCGAGAATGTGTAACAATTTCATGATCGAAAATG